GCTTTGCCCTCGATTTCTCAAATTTTATTCCCTGAAACAGATTGTCACGCGAAAACGCGCCTATCCGACCAGAGACTGTGACAACCTGCCCGGCCCTACCTACTTATAATTAACATTCGTTCTAGAAGTATACTACCTATCCTGCCTAGCTCTATATTTAAAAAATGGCAAAACAGGCACACCAACACACTCATTCCACGATTCTCACGCATAATACTCGGGCGCAAAAGCCTAAACTAGGGAAACATCCCGGGACGCCTCCGACACCCGAGCTTGGCACACTACTTTCACACTCTAAGTGTACGTACCATTTTCCTGAAATCGACTGAGGATGGTTAATGACCATTGCGTGAAAAATACATAATAAAATACATAATGAAATAAATAATGTAAAATAAAATATTACGATTTGAAAGTAAGATTAATTATTATTAATTAATAAATCTGTTATCATATTATTATAAATTCTAATTAAATTAATAATTGTTAATAGACTTATAGATAAAAACGACGCAATTCCACAGCCTAACCATACACACACACAGTGGAAAATACGTCGTGCACGATACACTAACGCATCATCAGTCGCTGAGAAATTTTTATAAATTTATCAACTAAAGTCATCGTGCCCATTGCCTTTTTCTCATCCAAGTGGCACCTGAGCACGTGAATGAGATCCTGGCAATGAACACGGAAGGGATTAAATCTGAAAATCCTGAGCTAAAAATTGATATAAATTGATATAAATAACGATCTAATAAACTTTATTTCTTTTGTAATTTTATATTTTAAAATTTAATGATTTTATTATAATTAAAATATTATAAATTATTGATATTTTAACATTTTATAAAAAAATTATTAATTAAAAGGGAATATATTTATTATTAAAAAAACGATTGAAATATAACTTAATGAAAATAATGACTCGAAATTAAATATTTTAATGTAAATATCCTCAGGCGATTTTTCATCAAAGTGTTTTTCGAAAATATGAAAGAAATATTCAAAATTAGTAGCTTTGATTTCAAAATCTACCTGTCACGAAATGTCTTCTTGCATATAATATTTAATAAACAAGAAAAATAAAACTATTTATTATTATTAATATCTTGAAAATCAAATAACAAATTGTTTAAAATTGTCAAAATTCATGAATTGAAATTCACATATTTAGATATTTAACATTTGCAAATATTCATATTAATATATAGTAATACAATAATTTGATTTATTTTTAATAATTTAATTTTTTAAAATGGAAAATTAGTAATATTTAAAAAGGCAATATACAAGAAGACCTAACCTGAACTAATAAATAAAACATAGAAAAAGAAAATGTTACTATTTACAAGTATAATATACTCGTGGTCACTGTGCTCGTACAAAATTCTACATATACAACCAATCATTCTGTCGATTTGGATCTTTCATCCTACGACATGATTGAGTGACTGGAGGAACCAAAAAACATGCGACTCACCATTAGATGCGAAGAATCTGCATTTCTATCAGTGTTGTACTTTACAGCAAAGTGTCTGTAACAAAAAAGAAAAATATTTATAACAAAAAGTGGAAATAAAATGGAATATTATAATTTACAATGTGACAAAAATTGAAATTCTAATAAATATAATAATTATGAATAATGATAATAAAAATAAATTTAATAAATATAATAATAACAAAAATTGAAATCATTAAATAAAAATTTAAAATTTTTTATTGCTTCTGCTGGTTTTATTTCTCAATAATATAAGTTTTTTCAATAGTATAATTCAAAAATATAAAAATTTAAATAGAAAAAAAGATAATTACCTCTTTACATAATAGATGATTTTATTCTTTTGAGAAAAGTATTGATTCTATCTTATACCGAATACAAATATTTAAAATAAAAAAATAAAAATAAAAAACTATTAACGCATTTGTACAATCGACGAATAAGCACTGATTCTAAGTTCGCGTATGATTATTTTAATTAAATTTACTTAGAACTATTATGCAAAAAAATAAAAAATACTATTACGAAACAAACACTGACTCTACTAATTGCATTGCACGCAATTACAATAATCTGAAAATAAAATTATATTAGAAAAAGAAAATATAGAAAAGGAAACAAAATATTTTTATATTTTCTTCTTTTTTGTATTTGCTAAAAATATATTGTTATTTTAATTATATTGTATCATAATTACGTTATTACAAAAATAATATAATATTTGATAATTTATTTATTCATTTTATTTTTATGTAATTTAAATTAATATCATAATATACATAAATATTATTTAATAAATTAATCATTTAATTTAAAATAAAATTATTAATTTAAATAATTATTAATTCAAAAAAAAATATGTAGAAATACTTGTATATGTTTTTCTTTCCGAAACAGAAATTTAAATTTTACCTTTTCTCTATAATTGTAATGGTATCCATATTAAAAATCCTTTTTTTTCACCTAAAATAATTTCAAAAAACTAATTATCTGCTCAAAAAAAATCAAATTCTTAAAATAAATACATAAAATGAATAAAAGGAAAAAAAAATGTTTAAAGAATTAAATTAAAATATTAAATTAAATAATCTAACTCAAATCTTATTTTTAAAGCTCATAATAATAATGGCAACTCTAACTAAATGGTAAATCAAATGAATAAAAAAAAAAAGAATAAATTATTCCAAAAAATTATCAATTATATTAATATTCAATAAACAGTTAAACAAATATTTAATATTATATATATTATATATATAATATATGTATATTATATATTATATATTATAATATATATATATATATATACTATATATAATATTATGTATATATTAATGAATAGTAGTTTAAAAAGTAAAAAAAATAACTGTCAAATAAATATTACAGAATAAATAGATCACACACTTAAAATAAAGAATCTAATCATTACGAGTTTCGACAACGAAATGACGCCTCGTCGAGCGATTTCAATATGTCGAATTACAAATTGGAGAGGGGATATGTTTAATAATTCGACAAGTCGACAAGAAACGTGTCAACAATAATACAACGTGAATCGTCAATTTCCTAGAAAAATAATTTATAAGAAATGTTTCCAAGCTTGAATGTAAAACAAATACAGAAATAATACGATTAGAATAATAACATAAGTTAAACGTACGAATAAATACATTTAGGAAAGGAATACAGACACACGCATACACACACATATATATGTATGTATAAATTGATTATAATGATTAACTATTTCTTTTATTATTTCTCTATGTGAATAAAAAGACGAAAGAAATGTATAATAATTATATTTCTCTCTTAAAATTAGTAAAATCTTATCATACTTACACAAAAATTCATGAATTATTTTTTAATTCTCATCCATGCAACTTTCAAAGCCATCACGTCTTCGAAGCTTCCATTAAACGATAATTTGTCACAAATATTTGATACAATAACGGTTAAACAAACACATATTAATAAGATAAGACTTAATAATTTAAAATTAAACTTAATAACGGTAATATAATTCTTTAACAAATAAAAATTTTATGTAATTACACATTTCTACCGACGAAATGCAACCTGTTACCACAATTTTCAATTGTAAACTGTCATGCGCAGTATAATGCGCATTATAATGCGCACTATAATGCGCACTATGATGCGCACTATGATGCGCATTGATTCGTTTCGCTACTAAATGTTAGCGACTTTCTAATTGGCTAAAATAGTATTCTTTATACATTTTAGCAGCGCGAAAATTAAAATACAATATATTATATATTTAATTAATTTTGAGATTTTTATAGATCTTACCAATTAAAAATATAATGAGTATAGATTATTAGAATTAATTCAATATAAAAATTATTAAAATAATAAAAGAATAATAATAAATTTATTATAATAAATCTAAATAAATCTTTTATATTGATCATAATTTATTATTTTTAAATAAATATATTATAATATAAATAGATCATTTCAAAAAATCATCCACATTACAATACAAAATTAAAAATATAAAATATTAAATATTGAATCTTATATTTTATTATATAAATTCCTTAGTTTATTTTAATTAATATTTTTATTAAATTTAAGATTGTAGAATGTTAATACAAATTATAAGACTGTAAGATTTTCTATCATGTACTTTATTTATAATGTTGCATTAAAATTTAATTTCAATACCAACTATATATATATATTTTTTTTTGATTGTCTGGATTATTATTTATATCATAACTTATACTTTAATAAAATTTGTTTGACATTAAGGCAGCAGTTTTCGTATTGACTGCAGAGACATCTGATAGCTAATGCTACATTCTTGAATTGTCTATATGCATTTTAGAGGTTATGTTCATTAGATCAGTTTATAAACAGTAATAAAGATTACTGTTATAAAAAAATTAAGTATTAATTAACAATAAAAATGAATCAAATAAAATGATTAATTTTTTATTTTAATCTTGGAAATTTCATTATTGTAAATTGTTAATATATACAAAGAGCAATAATAATTTTTATAATTTATGTGATACACAATTAACATGATGTATTTAAGATTTATCATTGCTTTTTGTATTTTTCATTTAAGTTATACTTGGGAGGTTTGTATAAACATATTATAATTTAATTTTATAATATTCTCATATGTTTTATCATCATTATGAAATCTAACCTTTTCAGATATCAGAAAACTTTGCTAAGACAGGGCATTCAAATAATTGGGCAGTATTGGTCGATACTTCACGATTTTGGTTTAATTATCGACATGTAGCAAACGTATTATCCATTTATAGAAGTGTTAAACGTTTAGGTATACCAGATTCACAAATTATTCTAATGATAGCAGATGACATGGCATGCAATCCAAGGAATCCCAGACCAGCTACAGTTTTCAATAATATCAGACAACATATTAATGTTTATGGAGATGATGTAGAAGTAGATTATAGAGGATATGAAGTTACTGTAGAAAATTTTGTGAGATTATTAACTGGGCGATTAGCACCAGAAACACCAAGATCCAAAAAACTATTAACGGATGAAGGATCTAATATTTTAATTTATCTTACTGGTCATGGTGGAAATGGATTCTTAAAATTTCAAGATTCTGAAGAAATTACTAGTAAAGAACTTGCAGATGCATTAGAACAAATGTGGCAGAAAAGAAGATATCATGAAATTTTATTTATTGTTGATACTTGTCAAGCAAGTTCAATGTATGAGAAATTTTATTCTCCAAATATTCTTGCAGTTGCATCTAGTCTAGTAGGCGAAGATTCACTTTCTGTGAGTCATTAAGATTATTGCTATGCATATTTTTGTTTGATCATTATCAATATCTTTCATTTTGTTTGTAGCATCATTTGGATCCTGCCATTGGCGTTTACATTATAGATAGATATACATATTATGCATTGGACTTCTTAGAAAAAGTAGAACCATCTAGTTCCAAAACATTGGGAGAATTTGTAAGTTATATAGAAAACAATTTTTAAATTAAGATTGCATTTATTATATTAATAATCTACTATTTTAATTCTTTGTTTAGCTCAAAGTATGTCCTAAGCATTATTGCTTATCAACAGTAGGAGTAAGAAAAGATTTATTTAGAAGGGATCCTAATAAAGTACCAGTCACAGATTTCTTTGGATCATTGAGACCTGTAGAATTAACCACGAGTATAATGACTGTTTTGCCCGTGAAAATAAATAAGACAAAAACAATCGAACCGGAAAGAAAATATTCTTATGTTCCACAATTTCCAGATGTATCAAAATTTACGTGATTTACAGAAATAAATATAAATTTCCTAAAATTATGTTTGCTTTTCAAATATTTAAATAAAGAAAAACATAAAATAATTAAATATTTAATGTTAATAAAAAAAGGTATTCTTCCTGAAATTTTTTGACTAATTTATTATATTACCATTTCAAGTATATTTAGAAAAACTTAAAATATTTTTATGTAATATTTCATTAGGAAAATTAGGAAAATTAAGAAAAGTATATATATGTTCAAAAAAATATCGATAAATTTGTATGTAAGATAATGCAAGATTATTAAAATATAATACTATTAGAACATATGTATAGAACACGTGATATTATAAACTTATTACATAAATTTCAAATTAAATTTTACAAAAAAAAAGCATGTAATATTTAATTCTTCTAATAAATCAGTCATTCATGTATTTTATAATTCGAAATTATCTTTAAAAATCTCATTATAAATATATTTCAAATATATGAAATCTTATTCGTCATTGAAACATTGCCTTGCCCTACAATCATAAAAATGATCACGGTCATAATTAAATTACCCGAAACTATCTTTCGATGCCAAGAAATAGTATAAACACTTTATGAAAAAAATTTACTATTCATAATATCAACAATGTTTCTTCGTATTGTATTATTTCTACGTATTATATCTGAATATGAATATGATGAGATGTTATGTATATATGTATATATAAGTCATGTAAGTATATAAGTATGATATCAAACATCCTCTAGATTCTAGACGTTAGTCAAGAAAACGCGACTGATAGCATCGCGCGTTGTTAATCGATTTAATCGTACGCGGACGAATTTGGAAATCATTGAGATTTTAAAAAAAATTTATTATTTTTCAAAGTTAGTATATTAGTTATATATATATTTTTATATATTTAATTATAATTTTAATTATATTTTTAATTATATTTAATTACAGTTAAAACATTTTTATTTATATTGAAATTAAATAAATATAATTTTCTCATTTGTAATTTTGTTAATAAAATATCACAATAATTACTATATATTTCAAATATTTTTTAAATTTTTCAAATAATTTTTACCATTATATTATTCAATAAATCTTTTATGATTGATTTTTTGTTTTTTTTTTAACAAATCAATGTAATGTTAAATAACATTTTAATGTAAAAAGTGTTAAAATTACTATTAAAACTACTAATTTACAATCTATATTTTTTTTTTTTGCAGATGCGTTTCTGTGGTATCTACTTGATAGTTATTTTTACTCTCTGCACACCGTCCTCGTCGTTCAAGCTAAAAACGAATTATATCGAAGTGTACGACATTGGCGACAATACCTTAAAGCAGTTACCTCCTCAAGATCCTGCAGTTCATTCTTTTCCAACGATATCTACTGTTCCACTTATCCCTACATGTATAAAAGAAGGATATTTCAGGGATCCTTTCAACTGCAAAAAATTTTACTATTGTCAATACGTGAACGCAGTTCCAAAGGGTTTCTACTGTCGAAGTGATTTGATATTTAATACGATTACCGATCAGTGTGATAAACCTAACTTTGTAGATTGTTGATTAATATTGTATTCGTTAGAAAAATTTGTAGTACAAATATTTTTAACTCTATGATTTTATTTATTAATTCTCATGTATGATTATTTAAGAATTATGAATAATCTATGTCTTTAATGTTACAATATTAATATTTATTTATTATATCTTATAAGAATTTATTTGTGATAGTTTAATATAAATATTATCTAATAACTAATATGTTATAAAACCTCTCTAGGATAAATATATATATAAAATATTATTTGTTTTTATTCATTTATTATTGATGTAAGTGAGGATTGTTAATTGAAATTTATACAAAATTTATACAAAATTATATACTTTTTTTAAATTAGATTTCTTTTCATTTTGAAAAGCAATAATTTAAAATCTAAGATTAACAATCATTTAATTAAATAAATAAAATCGATTTACACTTTAAAATCGATGTAAAATTAATATTTTATTATACGTTATCAAGGGATTCCCCGATGTAGATACGAATAAATTAAGTAAACATACAAAGGATATAATGAATCATGATTTTATTTGTTATATAATAATATCTACAATAAAAATACCACATCGTTTGAAAAACAATTTTCGTTACAATTATATAGTGATTTTATATAATAATATAATATTTAGGTTTTCGTTCCAAATAAGATGTAGCGATGAACATACACCTCGCAGTGGGAGTGAGAAAATACATTTTTTTTTTGTTGCAAATTCCACATTGATTTCTTCACTCAGTGTTATTTTTTTTCTTTTTTTTTTCATCTTTTTTTTTTCAATATGTAAACGAACACACTCGAAATGTCACCACGACATGTGTCTTTTTTTATTATCGCGTTTTCTTTCGTCATTTCTAGTCCATGCATAAATGATTTTCAAGATGAAAAGATACACTTCTTTCACCGATCGTGGTGCAAAGGAACCGTTTCGAGTGTTTCGTTCCTATCGTTTTCTTTTTTTTCTAGTTTTTGTCTGTTTTTTAAATATTTCGCATTATTTGCGCGCTGGCCCGCCTTCTCCGCCATTTTTACTTTTTTTTTCTCTTTCTTTCTTTCTTTTTTATTTTCATTTAGCGAGATTTATAGAAATATTGGACTAGAATAATCCAACTTTTTCCTATCTCTTTCTTGTAACGCGAGCATCCGCCCGCCTAATTTTTTTTAACTACACTTAGTTAATAGTACCGTAATGTCATCTCAATATATATCATTGTATTAGTTGTCATAATATATAGAAAATACATATAACAATTATTTAAATGACTCACAATCAATCATTTGTTAGAATGTATATATATGTGTATACATACGTGCAGATATGTATACATATATAAATACACGCATACACACATGTATACATACATATATTTATATATATATATATATATTTATTTATTTATTCATTTATTTATTTATATTTATATTTATTCATTTATTTATAATATTTATATTTATATTTATATTCATATTTATATTAATCGGTGTGTGTGTGTGTATTAATTTTACATGATATTTTTTTTTACACTCGTCGTAGAGAGGGAGGAAAAGGATGCCGAGGAAGGATTCTGCAAAAGGAGGAAGGAAATATATTCTGAGAAAGATTAGGAACGGGGCTAGGATGAAGGGAATAATAGACCTTTCATACATTTACATTGTTTTCGTCGTACTACTATATTTTTAAAGTGAAACTCCTCAGGACTTAGTCGATATCTTACAAACATTTCTCTTTTTTTTTTTTTATTTTGTCTATCTTGTACTGTTGTACGTATCCTCGCTCTTTTATTAACTATTATTCTCTCTCTCGTCACACGTTTCGTTTTGGCAAGCGAAAGAATAGATGGAATTTTTCTTATTATATTTTATCTTTTCGCATGATTTTTCACGATAGTCTAACGATAGTCTTTCTTTTTTCTTTTAGATTTTACAAACAAATTTTTGCCTCTCCTGCTCCAAACATCGGACGCTTTGCTCTTTTTCTTCTCTCACTCTCTCACTCTCTCACTCTCTCTCACTCTCTCTCTCTCTCTCTCTTTCTTTCTCTCTTGTCTATGATTCTCTTCGTTAACGGAATATAAACATTTACTCGCGTATAATATCTAACATATTCGTGTATCAATATTTAGATAATCCTTTTAGCGATTTTTTTTTTTTTTTTTTACCCCATTCTATCATCGAAGTTTCAACTATGAATCGTTTCGATTTCGATTTCTTAGCTGGCGCATTCTCGAAATTTTCTCGAACTATAATAGTACAAAAGGACGATAGGGCGATATTTGTATTTTCTTTTGGAAAAGAGCCACGATTACTGAAATTGTTAAATGCGTTTTATCTCGTGTGACTCGTGTTGCAATTTTTCCTTTCAATTCGCTTGATATTCCCTATAATTATGAAAAAATGTTTTCCAAGATTCGTATGTTTATCAATTCGCGGTATACAAATAATGCAGTTCGAATGATGTCATGTTTAAAAATTTTAGAATCGTCACGCGATAAGAAGTTCAGTGATTTATTGTACGATGTCAGCTCTTTTTAATTGTTAACCTCAGGATTTAAAAAGCAATTTTACACGCTATTGTACGTGACGAGGGTCCTTTTTCTCTCTCTTTTTTTTTTCTCTTTTTATTGTTAAAATTGTTCGCCGAAATATCTACATTCGCCTACCGCCTCCGTAAATGGCATCGAATTCTTTGAATTCGTCGATTAAAAACATTCTCAAAACATCGTTATAGGTTTTTCTCTTTCCTTATTATCCATATTGAGCGGAAAGGTATTGCTGTGTGGTTTCTCATGAAGAAGAATCCTGTCTTTTTTGATATGTCAAACGTCTAATTCGCTCTTTCTCTCTCTCTCTCTCTCTCTCTCTTTCTCTCTTACATTACACATGCTCTCACTCTCGCACTCTCTGCTTTCGATCTTTCATTTTTGATCTTTGATTCCTGTCGAATTATAGAGGATTAACAAGCTTCGACTCTATTCCTTCGAGTGAATATTTTTCATCGATTTCATATTTTTCTCTTCTTTTTATATAAATTTTATTTATTGTAAAAGGATAAAATGGAGGATTGATCTCGAAGCTCGTTTCGAATTTAGATGCTCTGAGCCTGTAATTCGTAATGTTCAATTGTAAATTT